ATACCCAGGTGCATAGTGTGACTTCAGAACAGTCAGACTCATGGTTAACATAATCTTCTTCCCATGTCAGCTTCAAACAAAGTGCAGAACAAAGCAAACACTGCCCCAGTTTCTAATGTGAATCTCAAAAAAAGCATTTGGCTTTGTACGAGCAGGATGGGCCTCTGTCAGATGCTAGAGATAATTGGCTGTCCTCCTTAGCCTCACAGTTGCATATGATCCTTCCATGATAGCCTACACAGCACCATTCAGTTCACTTGTTCTATCTCTGACAGATTTGAGATCATAAATAGGATGAACAGTGCTCCATCTTGTTGTCTGCCCTCCTGATTTATGACTTTCCCCGCTGATAAGGGAAGAGTGTACGTCGACACACAATAAGTCAAGAAAGTCCTCAAGGTTATTAAGACTGAAAGTCAAACCAAAGGTGCAGCATGTCTTGATTAGAGGACTTCTGATGCTGATAATTCTTCCCTCTTTTCCAATACAAAAGACCAGCTTTAAAGTCTCATGGGTCATATTTCCAACATCTTTGTGCTCCTTCACCAGCATAGAGGAGGCAATGGCCCAGTGGTATTATTGCTGGACTATTAATCCAGAGACCCAGATAATGTTCTGGGGTAACGAGGTGTAGAGCTGGATGAACACAGCAAGCCAAGCAGCATCAGAAATGTTCTGGGGACCCAGCTTCAAATCCTGCCACAGCAGATGGTGGAATTTGAATTCAATAAATATCTGGAATTAAGAGTCTAACGATGACCATGAATCCATTGCCGATTGTTGGGGAAAAACTCATCAGGTTCACTCATGTCCTTTAGGGAAGGAAACGGTCATCCTTACCTGGTATGGCCTACATATGACTTCAGACCCCCAGCAATGTGATTAACTCTTAACTGCCCTCTGGGCAATTAGGGATGGGCAATAAATTTTGCCTAGCCAGCGCTGCCCTCATCCCGTGAATGAGTAAAGGAAAAAAAATGTGTCAAGAAAATTGTAGTTATGGATCAGACTCAATGTCACACCACTGGAAGCAGGCAGCATGTTTGGCCACCATGGAACTATTGTTATGGACAGCTTGTCTTTTGACAAAATATTAAACATATAAGTGGAAAGGCAGCCACTAACTAATGCAGACTGACAAAAACTGGCATTGGGAAACCACAAACTGGCCGGCAGGACCAAGATGTTTATTTCTTAGGGCATGTACTCAGCGTATTTCAGTACAGCATTACAGTCTGGACAATCTGCACTAAAAGAAAGCCCAATAACATGCACCTTCCGTTTATGATACATTCTCAGTATTACATGGAAAGACAATCAATAATTAAGCAGGATACAAGCACAAATAAAGCTTCACTGGCTTGGGATACAAATGGGATGGAAGATCACACTAGCCTCAAGGATAGGAGCATAGGAACAGGAGTAGGTCATTCAGTCTACTGAGCCTGATCCACCATTTAGCATGATCATGGCGGATCAAACACTTCAATGCCTTTTACTAACACTAATTCTACAACTCTTTGTGCCATTAATAATCAAAGATTTATCAACCTCTACTTTAAATATACTCAAACACTGAGTTTTGACATCCCTCTAAGGTAGACAATTTCAAAGATTCATCACCCTCTGTGTTAAAATAAATTGTCCCCATCTGGAACCTAAATGGCAACCTCCTTATTTTTATATTGTGCCCACTGGTTCTTGATGTTCCAAGCAGGGGAATCATCTTACCTGCATCTATTCTGTCCAACCTTAGAAACATTCTGTCGATTTCCCTTATCTCCCCAGTTTGCCTAAACTCTCATCATGGAACAATCACATCATTCTGGGAACAAGTCTGCTTGCATTCCATCTATGGCAATATCTTATCTTCTGAGATAAGGTGACCAAAACTGCACACAGTACTGCAGATGTGGTCGAACCAAGCTTTTATACAACTAAAACAAACATTAACTACTCCTGTGTTCAATTTCTTGTGCAATAGAGTCTAGCATTTCAATAGCTTTCCTAATAGCTTACTGCATCAACATGTTATGCTAAAAGGTACATGTTAGTGTGAGGTAGCCCATACCAGCAGGGCACTCAAAGCTCCCATTCAAGGATGCCCTCACTATAGATCATAGTAAGTTGGCAACTCAGCTGATGATCAACACAAATGGCGACACAAGCTGCAGATAGGAATTTGCCACCACAGCAACATGTGATTTCAGAAGCTCCAAAGCAGATGCTAATCTTGCAAACAAGGTGTCAGAAGAGATAACCCTGTAACATCAGCAAGAGATAGCCTCATGTGTGGCAGTTGTGGCATACTTTGCCTTGCCAGAATCAACTTATTGTTCAGTGATAAAAAAATTGGGGCGGGGCGATGGCGTAGTGGTATTATGATCACTGGACTGTTAATCCAGAGATCCAGATAATGTTCTGGGCACCTGGCTTCGATGGTAGATGGTGGAATTTGAATTCATTGTTGATTGTCAGGAAAAACCCATCTGGTTCACTAATGTCCTTTAGGGAAGGAAATTGCCATCCTGACCCGGTCTGGACTACATGTGATTGAGTTGGGGTTAGGGTTAGGGTTAGGGTTAGCGTTAGGGCTGGACCCACAGAAATGTGGTAGACTCTTAACTGCCCTCTGGGCGATTAGGGATGAGCAATAAATGCTGCCTAGCCAGCGATGCCCTCATCCCATGAATGAATAAATAAAAGGAGTACAGCATCAGACCTCACCTGAGATTCTGAGACTGCATTCCCATCATCTCTTGCAAATGAAAGAAGGTCAAAATGACCCCAAAACAAATTCTCCCTGTGGAGTATCTGGTAGGATTAATAGAATAGATCAGTATCAGTCACAAACCGTGAGCCTGAAACAGGCAGTAAGCATAAACAATGGACACAAATGCGGTTTCATCAGCATGTTCACCAATTGTTGAGGTGTGCATTAAGACACTGCATGTAGCCTCCAGTAATGTGCCTATTCCGGGGAATACCTGGAAATGCTGATGTGACAATGTAATAAATACCATCTAAACTTCCTTGAGAAGCTCTCAATCTTGTAGAACAGGCAGAAACCTCACAGGATTCAATTTTGATGTCGCCTGGGATTTCTAGAAGGCATTTGAGAATGTTCCACAAAAGAGTTTATTAGCAAAAATTGGAAGTTTAACAGAATTAAAGATCACCTCTAAAATGGGTCAGTAATGGATTGGCAGGAAGTTGACAGAGAACAGAGATAAAAGAAACATTCTCTGATCAGGAAGATGTATGAATGCGGCTCTCAGGGGGTATGCAAGGGTTTCAACTGTTCACTTAAATAAAGAAAGTGAGAGTTAAATATCTTAAGTTTGCAGCTGATCCTATAGCTGGAGGCACAGCCAGTTGTGTATGTGGGAGCAGGATGTAACTGAAGTCTTTAAAATGACAAAGGGATTCAATAGTGTGGATATAGAGAAGCTGTTTCCCTGTGTAATCCAGAATAGGAGATCATAATCTTAAAATTAGAACTGGGCCATTTATGAGGCAAATCAGGAAGTATTTTTACACATCAGAATTAATAGAAATCTGAAACTCTTTCTTCAAAAGGCTGTAGGTGTTGGATCAATTGAAATTTTTTAAGTCTGAAATCAATACATTTTTCTGTTGGAGATATTGAGGGATATGGAGCTAAGGCAGATAAATGGAATTAACCTATAGATCAGCCATAATCTAACTAAGTGGCAGAACATAATTGAGGGGCTAAATAGCCTATTCCTAGTACTAAGTATTTATGAGAAGTTGTTTAACATGTTCAGTGGCCTTGAAAGGAACAATATTCCATCCACTGTAGAGAGGCAACTAATGTCACACTTGAGAAACTAACATTGTTGACTTAGAGGTTAGATTATACAATATCTGCTTTATGGGTGAAAGGAATATTACAGGATGCTGCATGCAGCCTCTTAATCCACACCTCAAGAATGCTGCATGCTATGTAGCATCAATAATTGGTGAGCGTACTGATGAAATTGGATTTGTGTCCATTGTTTATGCTTACTGCCTGTTTCAGGCTCCTGGTTTATGACTGACTGAAACAAGCTCTATGTATTGGGCAAAGTGCAACTGCTAATTATATACATGGCAATGGTGCTCCCACTGCTCCTGACTTCACATTCAAACCATAGGGCACTGCTGGCCATATTCGCCTTTTCCAATGTTAATTTCTTCCCCTCACCAGCTGGGTGTTTAGAATAAGCTTCTGAATCATATGGGTAAAAGATTTAGTCAAGGGTCTCTGCAATTGATCTCTGTGCAATGATCCATGGTACAAGAGTATGAATATAGATACAGAAGTCAGCTATTTATTTCCTCCAGCTTGTTCTGCAACTCATTTGGACCACGGCTTATCTAACTGACCAGTCGATAAATAAGGGAATAGACACTGTTGTGTTACCACTCCAATTCACTTCCTCTCCTTCCCATCATTGTACACAAATTGTAAATGATCACATATAAATAAATGGCACTTGAGCAAAAATTTAGAGGGTGATTAGTGTACATGGATTTTAATCAAGAACTCAATCCAAGTATTCAAGAGACAGAAAAAAGTTTGGCAACAGAAGAAAGCAGAAGATTTAGTGTTATTTTTCCCTTGTCAGTGGAACTAAGATGAAAGATATTAATTTAAAAAGGTTTTCTAAATATGTATTGCATAGTAGCCGATCTGAGCCAATCAGTATTTGCTACAGTAATAAGCAGTACAATTGTTGCTGTAAATTCCATTATAAATGGAGGCTGATTCTTTCAGCTTATTCTGTACACAAGAAAAATGTAATTGCATTAGATGATATTATTATGGCTCTGCTGTTTGCTGCTGTGATCTGAGGATCAAATAATGAGATGGTTACAGTGCCTTCAGTGTCACATGCAGTGCAGGCAGATTGGCAGCATTAAACTGTGCCAGTCTCTCTGCACAGCTTTATCAGATTAGTTTCTCATCTAACTCTGTAACTGACCCATTTGAACAGGATCCAAAGCTGGTGCGAAACATCTGCCGTTGGGTACGACAAGCTGTTAAGATTCCATTCTTTGCCAAGCTGACCCCGAATGTCACAGACATTGTAAACATAGCGTCGGCGGCTCAGGAAGGTAAGAGGCTGTAGCAGGCATTGAATGCACAGGCATTCAGAAGCTGCTCGGAGAATAAATGCTGTTTATTCTTTTCCTATGCTGGGTTTTCAGTTGTTTAAATAATTCAGATTAAAAATTTTTTTTTTTAATATTACATTGTAGTACAGTTTCCTTTGCCTGCCTGTGCCACTAACTTTGAAATGACTGTCACCTATTTTTCAGTTATTGCAATACAGTCAAGTCAAAATATATCGATGGATCGGAATTTAATTAACTGCTGCCTTTTCTCACAGGTGGTGCAAATGGTGTTACAGCAACAAACACTGTCTCTGGGCTGATAGGCGTACTTGCAGATGGTACACCAGTGCCTGCTGTTGGTAGAGACAGGCGAACCACATATGGTGGTGTGTCTGGTAAGTATTGCCCTCATCACTGCACAGCATTTGCTCCGAGACTATAGAGTCACTGTGAGGTCCATGTAGCAGCCTATAATTTCATGGCTGTACCATTGTTCCAACCATGCTTATTACTGGTCAGCACAGCTAATACTCATAACAGATCGAGAAGCTTGAGTGTGTGGAATGCCTGTTTCTTTTATGAGTACAACACTGCAGCAAAGTGGATGGGGAGGAGGCAATGGAAAATTGAAAAGAAAAGTACCTTGAAGTCCCTGTTCCAAAAATTTACGTTTGTCCTCTCTCCTTTCACATTTTTAACACTCATATTAGAAATACAAAACAAACACAAACCTTACTTTATTCATATATTTTGTAAGTCAAAGGAACCATTTGTATGTATTATTTTCTGATATGAACTATTCTGATATTTATTGTTAAGAGGTATTATGACAGGTCCTATTCATATAAATGATTAGAGGCTGTATTTCCTTGCATTATTGAGACATGCATAAGTGGTAAACAAGGAAGTGTCTTGTAAGTTAGAAAAAATTGAATTCTTGATGCTGAAACAGAATTGTAAATATGTAGTAGGTCAGTCAACATCTTTATCAGACACATCAAAAATCCCAATGTGTTAGCTATAGCTTCTTTCTTCTTCAACTGCAGCACATTTCCACCTTTTATTACAGTTTTCCAACATGTGTATTAATTTTCCATCCCCCTTACCATTTTCTGCAATGTGTCCTTCACATAATCTATTTTGTCCTGCTAGGAGTCCATCACATTATCATACCTAACTAAGGCTGTGCAGAAATTAAACCAAAATGTATTGATTCCTCTCCTGCTTGGAATGGTACTAGAATTCAAGAAGATGAGTTTCCTTCGCAAACCATTTGAAAACATGAATTTGTGTCAATAAATGGAGCAAAAATGTTAATTTAGTTATTTAAGTAAAGCTTATCTATCCCCCACCTAATTGCTGTAAAAGGAGATGGTACATGAGTTAAAAGCTTTGATAGTACAGTGGAAGTTTGTTGTCGCCTGCCCTACACAAACCTTCAATGTTCGAGTTTGCTTGATGACAACACAACAGACAATGGAAAATGCCAAGTACTGGCTTTGAAGTACTATAGAGCCGTGGCTTGACATTTCGACAGAATAGAAGTTTATGAGATGCATTATTTTACACCTGGGACTTCCTGCTGCATTCCAGGCAGCTTTGCATTTACCGACTGCTTCAAAATGGTTTAAATGATTTAAATCTTTGAACCGCATTGTCTTCATCCCTCTTTTTAGAATAAATATTGCTCTTAGTCAGCGTATAAAAGAGTCAAATATAGATACTTTATTTCACTGTCATGGCATGCTTGTTCTGCTTAATGTAGCAGCATGTTTCACTTAGTTGTTGTAACAGCTGGTCACATTACAGACTAACATGGGGCCAGAGTACTGCACATCAAATTAATTTTTTATAAAATACTTTATATAAAATTTTATAAAAGGAAAGAACGCAGATCTTAGTACTGTCAAGATTTTAGTTTTATTTTAAATATTTTCGAAAGGCCAGCCCTTTAAATCTCAGGGGCTGTATCAAGCACTGAGCTGTGAATTTAACCATAGGGTAACTGCTAATGATAAGGAAACATTCCAAGATGAGGCTGCTGTAATACAGTCATTGGATTAGGCTATCAATCACCTTAGTCCTCAGGGAACAGGAAAGGAGACAAAATAGAGAAAAGGAAAATTAGAAAGGGTGGGCATGACTAGAATGCAATTCTTCACTCTCTTTATCTGATAACTATACTAAATTCTGTAGCTTTTAAATTCAAGCCATGTCTAAACACTGCTGGGATTTTAAGAATTGTGTTTCAACTGTATTCTGTGTATAGAATAACAAAGTAAACAATCATAGTTAATAGAATAGGAGTGAAACAGTATTTTAACCTAGATTTTTAAAAACATAAAGTTTCTTTGGAAGGATTGTTTTAGCTTGTATTTAAACAAATTTCCATAAAGATTCTTGACATGTACGCAGGAACTAAATATTGACAATCATGCTCTGGCAAGCAAAATTGAGCTCTCTGAATTAACACAGTTCACGTCCTTGAATTCATGTTGCAACCCAAGCATGAAACTATTATCTCACAACATTAAATTGAAACCCACGTGTGATCTTTCCCCTGAGTTCAGTTTGGTGCTACGGACAAAATGGTTTGGTAACAGTGATCATCTGCATTAGGGATTTATCAAGCACCTTAGACATCAGACATATGTGGATTATTTTTAAAGACAAAGTTAGTTATAGTCTTTATCATTTCTATCCCCCATTGACACAAAATTTTAGGTAATGTTTTGCATAGCAGGTCTCGTTTTGTGGAGCAGGAGGAAAAGAAAACAGTTGATTCCTTAAGTATACTTTGCCTTCAAGACATGATCATTACATCTTTATGAGGCCTTCAGCTTTAGCTATGAAGACCACATACAATGCACTTTTTCAGAAATGACCTGCAACATATAGAGAGGGTGTGATAGCCAATTATTGAACACTTTTTTGTGTATGTGTCTTAGAATATAGAATATATGAAATCGCATGTTCAACAAATATATATTCAACACTGAAAGGTCACACAGTTTACTGAATTTTATCAATTTCATCTCTTATTTTGACTATTCGTGAACATAATTATATTTAGTAAAAACCAAAAGAACTGCAGATGCTGTAAATCAGGAACAAAAACAGAAGTTGCTGGAAAAGCTCAGCAGGTCTGGCAGCATCTGTGAAGGAAAAAAACCGAGTTAACGTTTCGGGTCCGGTGACCCTTTTCCTCAGAACTGAGTTGTATGTGTGACAATTATATTTAGATTGGGATTAAAACACTCTTGAGTGCTAATAGCTAGGAAATCAGGTAGAGTTAATGATGCACATTTTCTAATCTCAGTGGAAAAGTTACTCATATACTTTCATTTACTCGCATTCTTCAATTTGACTCATTTTCTCATGCAAAGTCAAAAATGAAGTATTATTTCAGGAAGTATGAAACAAATGACAGTATTTTCCCATGAGATAACAAGGTGTAGAGCTGGATGAACACAGCAGGCCCAGCATCAGAGGAGCAGGAAAGCTGACATTTTGGGCCTAGACCCTTCTTCAGAAAATGGCTTCGCAGTGGGGTTAAAATTATTTCAGAGATAGTAGGAACTGTAGATGCTGGAGAATCTGAGATAACAGAAAATGAAGAAGGGTCTTTTCTGAAGAAGGGTCTTGGCCCGAAACATCAGCTTTCCTGCTCCTCTGATGCTGCTTGGCCTGCTGTGTTCATCCAGCTCTACACCTTGTAATCTCAGATTCTCCAGCATCTGCAGTTCTTACTATCTCTGAAACAGTATTTTCCCATTATTTTTTGGAACCAAGCATGTTAGTTCTTGACTAACTCACTGGCCCCAACATCATGGAAACTCACCATATTGGCAGCTACTCATCTCATTAAGAGCTGTGTGATGATCTTGGGCAAATTTCTCAGCAAATCACAGGCATCAACAGGCATCTCTGGTCATCAGAATCAGCTGGCCAATCAAAGACTGGCAGCTTCTAAGTCCTTAAGTTTGCCACTTAAGGCCTACTCCTCAAGGGATTCACCAGTGTGAAGGTAAAACATACACTCCCTGGCCCAAATTGGGGCATTGGAACCCCTACACAACCTGCCTGGCAAGTTGCCCTCGTTTCCCAGCTGGGCATTTAGCCACTCTTTTCAACCACCAGGGAGGCAGATGAACAGGGAAGAGGCCAGTCTGCCTCTTTGCGATGGTGACTGTAGGCCAATCCTCCCAGTCTGCCTTACTGCAAGACCCTTAAGTGGCCATTAATTGATCATTTACAGGTCTTAATTGGTAGCCAGTCAAGGGCACAGCAGTAATATCCATGACTCTGGACCAGGAGGCCTGGGTTCAAGTCCTACCTGCTTCAGAGGTGTGTAATAACATCGCTGAGCAGGTTGAGTAGAAAATAGGTTTAAAAAAGAGTGCTCTATGGACCTTTTAGCCATTAACTTAATTAGTAAGATGACCAGAAGGGGTTTCTCTCCAGGGCTAACTCGTCTCATTATTTTCCCTTCTCGTCACTTCCAGGGAGGAAGCGTTGTGCTCATAAATCGAAACTCATACCTCCCAAAATCTGATTGTGAAAAATTTAATATGAAATTAGTGACCAATTTAAATGGATAAGCTAGGAGTTAAGCAATAATTGCTGACATCTTAACTATAGTTGATACATTGGCTTTTGGTTAGAATAATTTGCTTTATCACTCGCTTTCCCTTCTCAAGTGAATCCCTTACATTTACACCTGCACTATTCTTCATGATCAGAAGCAGGATAATTCCTGACACATCACAGCTGTCATGACTACCAACTTTTACTTTAACGTTGATCCCCATACGGCTCAGCAGAGACAGGTTCGCTTGTTTCCTATGGGGAATTTCAACATGAACACCAGTTGAGACTGGGATTCAGACTCTAGTTTTATAATCCGAAGCTTGAATGACACAGCCATTAGTACTTAGCACATTTTATTTAATGTTCCTTTTATGACTGAATGAAATGGAAATGCCATTTGCTTTCTAGTTGAGTCAGCGTAACAATGTGCAAATTATGGCTTTTATTAAGTCTCTAAAATATGGTTCACCATTGTTACTTAATGGTGTCTGGAATTGCTTACTTTATTTGCCTTTGTTATGAGCTCCATTTCATCTGCAAAGTCCTCCCTTCCCCTCGAAATGTATTGACATGTACAAGGGTATTTTCTTTCATACTTTGTATCTCATCGGAGCGACGGTACTTCATACGTGAGACAGGACATGTCTAGGGAGCACCACAGATGAACATTGTCTGGTCGTAATAACACATGAACTGAATGGTTAGGAGGACTGGTAACTCTGCCTGATATTTTACCTTCTCTTATACTAGGACACTAAGATGAACAGTAGAATTCCTTGGGGCAGACTGGCCGAGATTGGTTCGC